AAAAAAAAAAAAAAAAAAAAAAGGGATGTATTCTTCATATTAATAGTACTACCATCTGTTACCAAAGATATAAATGGTGAAAAGAAAAAAATTTAAACATACAGATGATGCAGGGTGGGGTGGTATATACCTTATAATCCCAGCTACCTGGGAGGCTGAGGCAGGAGGACCACCTAGACTATATAGTGAGACTGTCTCAAAAATAAACAAATATATCCAGGCATGGGGGTGCATACCTGTCATTCCAGCACTCAGGAGGCTGAGGCAGGAGAATCACCATGAGTTCAAGACTACCCTGGGCTAGATAGTCCAAAGCCTGCCTAACTGCATAAGGAGATCCTGTCTCAAATACATATATATGCAAATGATAATGAACATCACCATAAGATAATTATAAGACTCAATGAAAGGGCCAGGGATTTAGCTCGATGGCACCGCACCTGCCTGGCAAATACAAGGGCACAAGGTCCTGAGCTCGATCCCCTGGTACTCCAAAAACAAAACAAAACAAAACAACCCCTCAATTAAATACCACAGCTACCTATCCAAAGGTGTAAAATCCCCAGTGACACACTGAGTCGACCACTGCCCCCATCAGAACACCGAGAAGACTGGGAGAACAGCTGCCCAACAGCCCAGTGTGGACGTGAGAAGTCGTGTGGTCCAGGGGCCAGCCCCACAGCAGGCAATGTGACCTGGCCAAGCACGCCCGATGGAGGCCGGGGACATGGCCAACGTCAGCCTTCTGGGGGCCACTGCAGTGCCCAGGTGATTAGTCAGCAGTGCTGGCCACAGCGTGGGGACACTGGCAGCTGACTACCACCAGCTGCCCTCTGTGCCCCGCGCAGCCGCTCACCTTGCATGCCTCATAGTCCTTCCGGATGTAGTGCAGGTGGATCAGCCAGTTCAGTTTCTCCAGGACAGGCCCCTCTGGAGCTGGGGAGTGCATCAGACACAAAAGCAACACGGTCAGCGTTAGATTTTCTCCTTCAGCACTGTTCGCGTGCCTAAATCAACCCTAAACCTACAGCAGCCTTGGGTTAACATCTTCATGGTGTCAGCCCTCGGGTTACAGTGCATCAGAAACACTCAAAATGCTTGTCTAGTATGCACTAGGTGTGTGTTTCTCAGCAGTTTTTGTGGCTTATGTCAGTTTTTCAGCTGACAACTCGGCCTGAAAAACATAAAGCATCATCCTTTTTTTTTTTTTTTTTTTTTTTTTTTTTTTGAGACAGGGTTTCACCATATGTAGTTCCGACTGACCTAGAACTCACTATGTAGCCCAGGCTGGTCTTGAACTTGCCAAGATCCTCCTGACACAGCCTCCCAAGTGCTGGGATTACCATATCCAGCATCCTTTGTCTGTTGTCCTTCCTCACTGGCTGATCAATTTTAGGACTATTTCTAACTAAATCTGTTTAGCACAGTTAATGGCATACTTGATAGAGGAGAATACCAAAAAATACTATTATTCATCACACATGATCTTTAGAACTAGCTCAAATGGGAACATCGTGGACTTGCCCAGGAATGAGAAGCAATAATGAAAAACTTCAGAGTCGCTGAACATGGAATGTGACTAAGAAATGGCACAATTAGTCGCTTGCCGACTGAAAAGCAAAAGTGTAAGATACAGGTAAGAATTCTATGGTACCAAGGAGAAGGAACCATGACCACCTCAGAGAGGAAAGGAGGGGGGAACAGGATGGAAAAGATAAAAATGAGACTTCAACTCATTATTTGATGCCTATTTCTCAAAACCCCAAAAAGCCTAAAATAAACATAACTACATGTTTTGGTTTATTAAATCTGGCTGGTGCATCAATGGCACATTATTTTTATGTGCTTTATGTTTGAGACATCTCTGATTTTTAAAACTGTAAGAAAGGGGAGAACAGGGGAAGAAAGGGCAATGATTTGTAACCAATTTCTTGATGTCCCAGAACCTAAGAAGAAACCACCCACAGCAAACCTAAAACTTTTATGTTCGTAATCTGATAGGAAGGAAAAAGCTCCCTGTAAGCCAGAGGTAATGTTGCCCCAACATAAAAATTAAAAGTAGTGCTCCCAGGGTGGGGGATTTGGCTCAGAGGTTCCACCGCCTGCCTTGTAAGCACAAGGACCTCAGTTTGATCCCTGGTACCAAAAAAAAAGAGTGATGCTCATCACTCTCCCAAGAATAGGGACCATCACTGGATTTGTAAAATGAAACTATGACATAATGCATGCTGGAGAAAAAAATATACATTTTTAGCCAACCGACCCTTTACCTTCCAGTCACCCACATCCTCAGAACACCCTTCTAGTCTTGTTTCCTTTCTTCTGTGTCTTAGCCATTCTAATTCTGCCTAACCACTTCCAGAATTAAATTTTTCCTACTAAAAGCCACATAGATCACTAAGATTCAAGATGTGTGTAAAGCTAGGTGTGGTGGTACCTGCCTGTAATCCTAGCACTCTGGGACACTGAGGCGGGAGGATTATTAACTCAAAACCATCCTGGGCAATTTAGCAACTCAGTGAGACCTTGCCTCAAAATAAAAATAAATATTAAAAATGTCTGCAAATGTAGCTCAGTGCAAAGGCCCTGGTTCACTTGCCAGTACTTTAAAAATAAATAAACAAATAAATGAAAAGATGGACACCTCTGCATAAAGTGACAAAGAGGTGCACTGTAACGAAGAATTTGGGGGCATGCAGCTTCTGGAGCAGTGGAGTTCAGGCTGGCCTTAAACTCACTGTGTAACTCAGGCTGGCCTGGACCTCTCAGCGATCCTATGCCTCAGCCTCCCAGCGCTGCAATTACAGGTACGCACCACCACTACCTGCCAAAACATGAACTTTAAGATCTTGCCATTTATGAAAATCTTATTACATATTCCCTGGGTGAGGACAGGAAAAAAATATTCCTTTTGTAAGGAGGCCGGAATTTAGTGTCATTTCATTCCACCATAATTCTAATACCAACTATGGGACCTTGGGAAATTTAGTTTCCTCATCTGTGAAGTTAAGGCTCATTCATTCAACAAACACTCCCTGAGTGCCTGCCACAGGCCAGGCAACGTCATGAGCACTGGGGACTCAGAAGTGAGCCAAAGTGCTCCGGGTTCCAGGGAACTCACAGGCTGGCTGTGCTGACAGGAGCTACAAAGGGACACTTGGGAGAAAGACAAAGCGAGGTGCAAGGACAAAGTGCAGGGCCTGGGGCTAACCTTTAGACGGGAAGGTCAGAAGGAAGCTGGAAACAGTACCTGCTACACAGGAAGCCCCAAAGAAACCGCAGCTACTGTTACTGTTCTTGTGGGTTTTGGGTTTTTTTTTTGTTGTTGTTGTTTTGGTACCAGGGATCAAACTCGAGTCTTTGCACTTGAGAGGCAGGCGGCAGAACCACTGAGCCAAATCCCCAGTCCCTCCTGTGTTTATTATCATTAGTATTTGGGTGCTCTCAAAGATGAGGGGATTCAGGATACCTTAGAAGCCCTTAGAGTCCTCAAGTTGGCTTGCACTTACCTGTGAATGTAAAAGCTGCCTCTCTGGTATTCCACACCATCGCTACTGCAACCCCTCTACCTGCGCGACACTGCTGTCACGTGCTCCATGGGGTCTGTGTCAGAGCACAGCAGGCTCCCAGTGCTGCCCCAGGAGCCCCTATAAGCACACAGGGCAGGGAGTGGCTGAGGAGGGAACATAGGTGACCCTTTCCAGGTGGTTAGAAAAGAGGCCTCTTTCCTATCCCCAGCTCCAGCACTGCCCCTCTGTCACCCCAGGCAGCGGAAGGCGGCACACTGGCAAATTCCACTCTTCTGTGACATCTGTTCCCTTTTCTTCCTTCCTCCCAGACATACTTAAAACAGCTCTGTGACTAAGAGCTTTCCCACCTAGGCACTGCTGAAGAAAACGATAAACTAGGGCCAGGGATTTAGCTCAGTGGTGCCACGCTTGCCTTGAAAGTGCAAGGTCCTCAGTTTGATCCCAGTACCAAAAAAAAAAAAAAAACTCCTGTGAACACAGATGTAAAAATACTTAACAAAGTATTACTGGACTGAATCTGGCAATATTTTTTTTTATGTTCTTTTTTTTTAATTCAATTTATTGGTACATTCTAGGTAGACAGTACAGTTACATTCATTACTGGGATCTTGTACCTTTTTACATGCCTGGTTTTGTTTCTCATTTTTTCCCCTTGTCCCCACTGGCAATATTTTAAAAAGGTAACACATCATGACCATTTGGCAGTTATTACAGGAATACAAAGTTGGGACAATGTTCCAAATTTCGATCAGTATATTTTACCGCAGCAATAGTTTGCAGAAGACAGAAGTCATGGGCAGATAACACCCTTGACATGTGAGGTGCCATGCCATACATGTAGGGTCCTGGGCCCTGAGCAACACAATGAACCCTGGAGTTAGTGAAATAGCTGCCCAAAGTCAACGCAGCCTGGAGCTGGAGAAGAGAAATAAAAGCTCCACGTGAGAAAAGATCCAACGCTATTGTCCTGATAACCCACATGGCCCTATTCACGCCATACTAGCAGTCTATTTAGCCCTCAACTCTGAACTGCCAGGAGGGACAGATGGTTTCACCGGTGCGGGGGAGAGGGAGAGAGGGGGAGAGAAGGGGAGAGGAGGAGAAGGGGAAAGGGGGACAGGGAGAGAGGGAGAGGAAGAGGAAAACTGAAAGTTGAAGAAACTGGAAATATTTAAATTCAGCTGAAAACACCCACTATACTTTGTTTCTATTCTATAAGTTCTGAAGACAAGGAATCTATACCTTATTTATCTCTGCATTCCCACTACCTATCACTGCTCCTAGAACCAAGTAAGTGCTCAAATGTTCAAGAACAGGAAAAACTAAACTTTCATCATGAGAAATCAGACAGTAGTTGCTCTAAGATGGAGACAAGAGGAAAAATTGATGAGAAGGGCTGGGAATCAGTCAGTGGTAGAGCACTTGCCTACCAAGCATGAAGCCTCAGGTTCAATTCTCCCAGCACCAAAGAGAAGGAAGAGGAAGAGAGAGGGACCCTATAGCGATGCACATTAAATGCTTCTTGGCACTAAAGTGGAGAATTCTGCACCTCAGTAACCTGAGCTGGGCACAGACCAACTCTCAATTGGTATTCAATCATCTCCTAGACCTGCTGGCAATCGAACCAGAGGACTGGCCTCTAGAAGGGTAGAATGAACACTGAAGAGAGGATCACAATACATACGAATCCCATCTAACAGGCCAAATCATCCTGGTGGTTAAAGGAAGTGACAGATACCAAAGCAACACACTCCCGTATTCTCAGCCCTGGGAAGGGTGAGGTGGGAGGATCACCATGAGTTCAAGGACAGCCTGCGCTACAAAACCCTGTCTCAAAACAAACAAACAAAAAGTCACATGATTCTTATATCCTGATATGGTCTTAGGAATATTAGCAACCATGTTAGATATTGGTAGAATTACATCTGACTGTCACAATCCAAACTAGAGATGTACAGCTCTCCCAGTGAAAGATATATTCCTGAAAGACACCCTGTAAAGTACATTTCTGAAAGGCAATCACACTTTCCAACAACTGGCAATATAGTTTCAAAGGGTGGTAGAAATGCCAAGTAAGCTAAACAATTTATTGACAAAAATCGCCTAAGACTCTTCACAGACACACATACTGTGGAAAAATACATCACTGGCAACTCAGGAATACAGAACAGAACTACACCCAACACCCTCGGCAAGCCCCAGCCTTTCCATGGTTTCTTCTAAAAATATTAAAACCCAGAGATCCATAGATGAATCAATGAATGTCTTTTCTGCTATAAACAAAGTTCAGCAGTTTCTCTAATGCCTGATGCACAGTGGAGACACTGAATCCATCAGAAACAGAAGAACATTTTAATGTCACCACCAACCTGACAGAAACCCTCAGACTGACTGACTAGGCAAATGAATAAAAGAAGTTTGTTCCCCAAACACATGTGATCAAATCTCTATGGATATAAACACATCTCTCTCTCTCTTTCTTTCTTTTTTTTTTTTTTTTTTTTTTTTTGAGACAGGGTCTCACTATGTAGTTGAGACTGACCTGGAACTCACTATGTAGCCCAGGCTGGTCTCCAACTCACAGTGATCCTCCTGCCTCAGCCTCTCAAGTGCTGGGATTACAGGTGTGCGCCACCACGCCCGGCTTTATAAACACATCTCTTTATAGCAAAGGACTTGGTTTTCCAGACTCTTTTTTTTTTCTTTTCTTTTCTTTCTTTTTTTTTTTTTTTTTTTTTTTTTTTTTTTTTTTTTTTTTGATACTTAGGATCAAACTCAGGACCTTGGGCTTGAGAGGCAGGCAAGGCACCACTGGGCTAAATCCCGGCCTCCAGACTCAATTTTGACAAAATCCTATGCTTATTTAACACACAGTGAGGTCACCTGAGGCCAAAGTGATCTGTGCTATGAGACTGCAGAGTATTTATTCCACAAATAGAAATATCAGTACACACGTAATAATCAAACTCCATTTAAAAACATTCACAGATAGTTAATATCTAACAACCCCATAAAATAAAAGCTTGATATGCATAACATTTAGACTAGTGCTGCTTTTTCTAACATTCACATTTTTAAAAGCTCTAATGCATATACAATAGCAAAAAAAAAGGATCAAGGAGTCAGAGAAGTCTATGCAAATACACACATCATAACAAACCACATACGGACCTTTTTTCTTGCTGGGTTTTTGAGATTCAGCAGATGCAGGAAACTGAGTTCTCTGAAATGACAGTTGTGGTCTGTTAAAGCACTCATAAAGCCTACTAACTTAAAGATACATTCAAATAACAAGAGTAACTATCAGTCATGCTTTTAGTCCATTAAATGCATACAAGTACAAAGAATTACTTCAGTATGATTATTACTGCAGTATGATTTTAAAAACAAATACCAAGTATCTTTGTTACCCAAGCTACTAATGTATAATACATATTTATAATGTGCATTTATACTATACAAAATATAACGCATAACATGTGCATTAATGTTATAAAGCACTAAGTTCTTAAATATTTAATATTAGTATTGCAGTTAATATTGTGCTTTTCAGCAGCCACACCAAAAAGGTGATCTCTATTTGATAAAGGAAGATGTAAGTCAAAAAAGGGTCTAGCAATCAATTCTAGAAGTGAGACATTATCTTACCCTAAACCTTCTAGATAGTCTCCAGGTACATTTTTATACCAACTTCCTATTTTATATATATCACATATATATATTATATATATATATATATATCATAATATAAGCAAAAATAATGGCTGGAATTTTTCTAGCAGTAAAAAGCAACACTAATACTTAGATTCTGGCTATGCAACAAATCCTAAGCAGGTAAAATGAAAATAAACACATACTTAGGTAGAGCAGAGGGAACTTAGAACATACTTAAGGGCCAGGGGGTTGCTCATGGGCACAGCACTTGCCTAGCATATAGGAGGTCCTGGATTCCATCCCCAGCACCACACACACACATATTTACATACACATGAAATTTCTAAAATCAGCAAAAGAATAAGTATACCACCAGATTATCTCAAAGAAAGGACAATAAGACTGAGAGCCAAATTCTCAAAAATTAAAATAGAAAACAGTATCACATTAAGACAGCATGAGAACACTACATGAAATGAATATTCATAGGGACCAGAAATCAGCAAATTATGACCTACAGGTCAAACACATCATGTTCGTGTGTGTGTGTGTGTGTGTGTGTGTGTGCCAATGTGTTTTGTTTCTCTGAGGCAGGGTCTCAATATGTAGTTCAGGCTGACCCTGAACTCACTATGTAGCCCAGACTAACCCTAAACTCCCAAACCTCCAGCCTCAACTACTAAATGCTGAAATTACAAGTATTCACCACCACACTTGGCAAAATATATATTTTAAAATATTTTTAATATATGGGAATTATGTAAAAGTCAAATTTCAGTATCTACAAAATAAAATTTTAGAGGGGGTAAAGGGAGGGCAGGGGTATTGGGGAAAAAATGAGAACCAAGACCTGTTATGTAAAGGTACAAGATCCCAGTGATGAATGTAACTGCACTGTATACCTAAAAAGAACCAATAAATTCAATGAGGAAAAAAAAAAGAAATTGAAAAATAAATAAAATTTTATCAAAACCACCATACTTAATATGTATATGCATTGCCTACAGTTCCTTTTGTATTACAACAGAATTCACTATTACTAAAGACTGTATAAGCACAAAGCCCAAATATTATTATCTGACCTTTTTACAAAGGAAAAAAAGTATGGCAATCTCTGACCTACATTATAATACCTATTCAAACTAACTTTCAAGAACAAAAGCAAATGTAAAAGACCTTCAGAATTTGAAAATTTTTAGACTCACTGAGAGAGAATTTCATGGTTCTTATACTATGAATATTTTTTTTTTTTGATACCAGGGATCAAACTCGGGTCCTTGTGCTTGCAAGGCAGACGGTGGAACCACTGAGCTAAATTCCCGACCCTTATGCATATTTTTAAGTATGAACTTTAAGTTCAATACACATAGTATTTCCAAAATTTTTGAGATTCAAGAAAGACACAGGCCAGGAATTTAGCTCAATGGTTCCACTGCCTGCCTCACAAATGCAAGTTGGTACCGAGTTTGATCCCTGGTACCAAAAAAAAAAAAGAAAAAAGACAGAAAGACACAGTATATAACTTGCAAGAAATGAAATGAGAGAAGCAGAGAGGAGGGAAAAAATTAAATTCTCCATTTTAAAACAGAGTATGAGAATGTATTTTTTAAAATATCTACATGCATATTATTTTTTCAAACACATAGCTAAAACATAAGGGAAAAGAATAAAAGGATGGGGAAAGACCAGTGAGGAAAACAGAAACAAAAAGAAAACCCAAATAGCAACACATAATATCAGACAGAACAGATGTTAGAAAGGGAGAGTCATTTACAATATTACAAAGTTTTGTTTTGTTTTGTTTTGGTTGGTTTTTTGAGACAGGCTCTCACTATGTAGTTGAGACTGACCTGGAACTCACTAAGTAGCAGCACAGGCTGGTCTCAAACTCACAATGATCCTCCTGCCTCAGCCTCCCAAGTGCTGGGATTACAGGCGTGTGCCAACACACCCAGAGACTGCAAAGTTATTTTTAATGACCAAACTGTAAAAAGCACTTAAAATGGTCAAATTTTGAGCAGGGAATTTACCTCAGTGGTGCCACCACTTGCCTTGCAAGAGCAAGGACCTGAGTTTGATCCCTGGTACCAAAAAGTTTAAAATAAAAAAGGGTAATTTTTATGGTATGTGCATTACACCACAACAAAACTTTTTTTCGAATTAGGGAACATACTCAGAATCTTTCTTTTCTTTTTTTTTTTTTTTTTTTTTTTTTTTTTTTTTTT